ATTTTCCACTGTATCACCAGCTCAAATGATTTTTTTAAGTGCTTCTCGTTTATGTGCAGCTATTTGTTCTTTCGATTCCCACGGCATCATTCGAATATTGACTAGGTATATTATACGGAAGTCACGCACAGCTGCACTGTGTTGTTTGTTTGTAAACATCAGCATAATCATATGGTCGAACATATGATATTTTAGTTAGTCGTGTTGCCGGTTTACCCAAAAGAGAAAATATGTAATTTTATTAAAACAAAATTTCGATAGAAAAGTGTCATCTAGGGTGATGATTTTATCTTTTCAATAAATAAAATGTTCCTGAATAGAAAATAATTGAGTTGCTCTGCACAAAGATGCTTCTATCAATCATAGAATTTATTTTACTGAATCTTATGTAATAGTTTCATGAAACTGTTTTGGCAACATTGGCCAATGATTGCTGCTAGGATAAAACATGAGATGCGTAGCTTAACGCATACATTCATAATGTGCGCATGTGTCAGTCTTGTTGTGATCTTTCGTTGTTTACCGGTAAATCCTGAATTAAAATACAGTTTTTCAACTAATTTTCATTATAAATCCGGTTTAACTTATTAGATTGTGAAAGTAGATATATGTGCAGATGTAGTGAAGACAATTTAAATGCTGTATCCCTTCTGGAAGTGAGTAGAATAAGCGGTGTTCAATTTGGCTCTGGGATTTTTTTTTATTGTGATGACTTTTTGTGTGTCGTAGTGCTAGGCCAAAAAATAAATTCGATGTTATTGAAAAGCAGATATCTACCCAACAAAATGAGATGTTGCTTGAATAAAAGGTGAGTGCATTAAGATAATGAATCAGAGCAAACTTCGAAATACTTGTTGTTGGTGTATTTCGTGTGTTTAGGCTGGAAAAAGCTTCAGAAGATGTGGGTGGTTATTTTCATCAACTCGTTCCCACTTTTTGATGATCATCATTGATGACACCTTCTGAGGCTGACTGTTAGTTGCCTCTTAATGGCAGCATTTTTAATGTGTCCGTATTTTTTCGTGTTCAACCTTTAGCTCGTTCAAGGGAAATGTTAACTAGTAAATTCATCATCTACATAGAAAAGCAATCAGACTTCAGCAATGATTGGCTTTATTGAGTAACAAAGTTAACTCGCAGATGATTTAAAAAAAAAATAATTCAATATAATTTTAAAATAGGTAGGGTAAAAGTCGGCTTCGGCACCCATTGACGGTTTTCGGCAACCAAAATACAAGCGTTAATTTCACTGTATTTTTCCATCAAAAACCTCTGCTGAAATTACTCATACGATTCCTTAGTCTTTCAGCTTCAATCTGAATACATTTTTACGACTGAGCAATCACGTTAGCCAGATTTTTCTTTAAATGATATACAAGCACTACAAAATGCGGCTGAGTTGTCGATAATAGAACAGCTGGTCAACACACGGTTCAAATGGAAAAGGTTGCAGTAGAAAAATTTGCAGCCGACAATACTCACACTTCTGAGTAGTTTGGAGCGTTGTAAAAACGCGTTCAAACAGTTTTGAACAATTATGTCGATTGAAATGGATAGAGAAGCAAGCAGCAGATAAATGTAAACGAACAAACATGTCATATGTGTTCGTGGGGGCGACCTCGGCGTAGTGGTTAGCATCCATACCACTCACGCCAAAGTCACGAGTTCAAATCTCACCCCCGGACAAGTCACGAATGACCCAAGAGCGTTAAAATGACTATAATTAAAAAAAAATATATGTGTTCGTGACGCTGATAAAATGCTAATAGAATTGCGGACGCTGCTTAGATTGACGAGAATACGTAAATTCCCCTATATCGTCTTCATTTTCTTCAGAACTACTGTGCATTGAACATTTTCAATTTTGAGTTTAATTTATCTCATTTGACTCAAACAATCATGATCTGTGTAATGTTAAATGATGTTACCAAAAACGGGAATATTACCAAAATCGGCAGTAGACTAAACGAGTTTTACCAAAAACGATAAGGCACTGTATTAGATTTGTTCTACCCATGAATAAAAATAGGCGATTAGGCCGAAGTGAATGATTACCCTAGATACTTAGAATAAAAATAAATATTAAGATAGATGGACACAAAAATATGAAAATACAAGTTTACCGCCATGTACCGGGGTTTCAGGACTTGTCAGAATCTCAATGAAATAGATTAGTTTCACGAATGAAGAATCTGAAAAACTCGACTTTCTCCGCTATCCATTATAGAACTTGTAAAATTTGAATTTTTCAAAAAATGTGTAGTACAGAAACGGAAGGACTACGTCTTTGTGGACTTTACTGGGGTGCAAAAAACCTGTAACGAAATAGTGTTAGGTTTTAAACGCTTATAACTTGGCCATTTATTTATAGATTTAATTTCTTTTAACATCCTTTGATTCCAAATTTATGTGAGATTTGCTTGGTGTAAAGATTATAGTAATTTACCATTGGTAAACTATTGAGCATTGATCAAACTTCTAAGCCGCAATCAACAAATCACGAGCAAGATCGGTTGCGATTTCTCCTCGATTTTTTAGGAAAAAAAACTTCTTGAATACCGTAGAACCTCATTGAATAGCTAAAAGTGGATGTAACGGTCATTCGCTTTGAATTTGTTTACCGAGTATATCTACAGTGCCCAATGGCGCTAGTCAATGTAATGCTATTGTGATTTGAATTCGACTTAGGTATTGAGTTACTTTTATCGGCCGTGTAGAATGGGTAAATTGAGTAGCTCCACTTTTACGATTTTAAGTGAAATGTTCAGTGATGTCATGGTGGTCAAAACTGGTGACCCTCCACGGTAACCAGTTATTGAAAAAAAGAACAAATTTTTATCATTTGTGACGCAAAGGGTAATTCTAAATCAGTAACCAGTTCCAAATTTACCATGACATCACTGATCATTGAGTTCAGAATTAGTGTTCCAGGTGGCACTAATAAATTATTTGCTCAATTTGACATCTTGACTAGATACAAGGTTTCTGTCTTTAGAAAAGATTTTCAAGTAAAAGAGATTTATTGGATGGTGTACATCACACTAGTATACTATTTCGTTTCTAATTGCTTTAACTTGCGACTTCGATTAGATAGAAGGAAGCGGTCTTGGACAAAGTTGATCTGATGAATAAGACCTATTGGATGATGGACAGCTCAGTTCAGAATTCAATTTGACATCTTATTGCTTGCTTTAACTTGACAGCACGACTAGATAGAAGTTTGCTGCCTTCAGTTCTGAATGACAAGACCTATCGTATCTCACTCGAAATAATGACTAACCACTAGTGATATTTAATACTAATGGCTTGCTTAAGTCGTCATCTCGACTAGATAGAAGGTTGCTGACAGCATGACCTATTGTATAGTGGACAGCTCAGTTCTAACGGCGCCGGTGGTGTAGTGGTAAGCGTGATTACCTCTCACCCCAGCAGGCCTGGGTTCAATCCCAGTCGGCGCCGCCGGGATGTTCTGAGGCATAACATCTCTGATCACGCCTTCCTTCGGAAGGGAAGTAAAGCCGTTGGTCCCCGGTTCATGAGTTGATGGGTCGATAGGTAGGGTCCAGGTGTGGGAGCTGCCTTCCTGGCACGTCGGTAGCATTGGTGCTCAGCACGGAAAACAAGATCGACGGAAAAAACAAACCAAAGGAAAAAAAAAAGCTCAGTTCTAAATTATCCCAGCGAGCATACGATTTGACTTATAATTACTTGCTTTAATAGATGGTTGTAGTTTTTGGCAAAGTTGATCACATTTATAAGACCTATTGTATGGTGGCCAGTTTAGTTGAAAATTTCTTCACCAGTGTATCAACTGACTTTCTACCTTTGGCCTTGTTGGATGGTGCACAGTTTAGTTCAAAATTCTGTCACCAGGGAAGTAAAGGTACCGCTAAAATAATAATTCTTTAAATCGAAATTTTGATATTTTTTTCTTATTATCTATAGTTATTACATCTCAACTGGAACTTTGCTTTTGTCTTCAACTTTCATTTCATCTGCTGTTTTGGGACTTCCGTCGATACTTGTGAAATGGAGATGACACGAATATAACGTATTGGCTTGTAACGTATTGATTTGTAAAAATTGATATTAAAATGTAATAATATGGTGTAATACTTATATGTATTTTAAACCGGTTTCGTTATATGAAAAGCATTTCAAAAAGCAAATTTTCACTCCGGTTCACGTAAATAAACTTTGCTCAGTAGGTACCTGAAAATTGGTTGTACATATTTGAAACCTAGTTTTGATGGGATAGGAATTGAGTTTTGAAATATGAAAATTCAATTCAATTAAGGATATTGAATGTCCTCTAATTTCAAAGCTTTGAATTCAATGTTATAATAGAATTAATAAATCAATAATATATTAATCAATTAATAATTAGTTAAACTATTAAGCAAAAAATAATCCTGTAGTCGTCTGATGTAGTCGTACTTTGGACACAAGCTATTTTTTCTCCCAAAAATCGGTTACAAACATTTTGAGATATTTGGGTTTTTAAATTGTTTTTCTCTACAGCTTAGTCTCAGACATCATTTCGATTAGAAATGCCATTTCCATGCTACAATTTTTTAAGAAATTTTACTGTCAAATTTTACAAGATCCGAAATGTCCGAATTTAAGTAAAAATGTGAATCACTATCCATAACAAACAATTCCGGAAAGTTTAATACACATAGGAAAAGATCAATTCAAAACTTATGCTGTTGCTTAGAACTATATATAACTATATTGACATTTTGGCCATAACTTCCGAGCTTTTACGGAATTTTTCATCAAAATCTTATCGCTATTTTGAGTGTTTTCAATGTAATCTTATCGTTTTACAGTCATGAAAGCGTTCGTATCTGTCTTTTGATGTTTATATACCAGTTTTGTGCGTATTTTTTACATGATTTGGCGCTTTAGCGCCATTTTGTATTTAATAGCTATTTCACTGTTTTAAGACTACATTGCGTGCAACAAACCCAACACTAATCCGATTTTCTTCCTTACAGTGGTGACACCGCCAGTTGCCTGCACAATCCACCTCACGAGGACGAAGCGTTGGGCCGTTCCCTGCCGGGTACGCTCCTGTCACTGGACGCCCAATGCCGGCGGGACCGGGGGACTTCGGCGTGCTTCAAGGACGAACGAGTCTGCGCCCAGCTGTTCTGTTTCGATTCGGCCAGCGGGTACTGCGTAGCGTACCGACCGGCTGCCGAGGGATCCACCTGCGGTGATGGACAAGTAAGATTGACGATGGACGGGGAGGGAGTGGGAGAGCCTTTTTGGTGTTCCGATCTAAACTTGACTGTCATTTCAGCACTGCTTGGATGGTAAATGCGTCGCCGAAAATGAGAACATAATTCCCGACTATTCACAGCATACACCGTCGTACGCGCGGTTCAACCAACAACCAGTCAAGTATGTATAGCATTTTGATTCAGTAGTTGACACATTCCTTTTGGTTAGCGATGTTACTCTCAGCCATAGTTGAAACTTCAGTAAGATAGCGATTACACTGAATTCGATAAGAATCAGAAAATACACACACACACAGATATTACCGTTGTACATACCGATCTCAAGCCAATTTCAAAACAAACACACTGTTGAATGATCAAATTTTAACGGATCAACTTCTCTAGATATAACTACGACGACAAGTCAGGTCAGCAGGAAGAATATTATGAACCATCTAGTAGCACGTCGTCCACAACGACCACCTCCACAACCACCACCACAACGACAACCACCACCACCACACCACCACCGCCGCCACCGACATCGACGAGGAATTATTACCAATATTTCAACCACAAGTCCACGAGTACATATCATAGTAATTTGCATTCTACTAGCTCTAGTAATAACGGTAACAGTAATCACTATAACCACAACAATAACGATAATCAACAACAATCGACCACTGAATCCGACTACTACCGCACGAAAGCGACCAAGACCCCGTACGTGTTCAGTAAATACACATTCAGCTCGACCAAGAGCCCGTACACTTACAGTCAGTTCACGGCCAGTAGTACGACACCGTCCACCACTAGCACAAGCACCACACAGTCCTCCCCGTTCTGGGAAAATCACCACAACAATCAACAACAACAACACCACCAGCACCAACAAAGCAATGGTGACGGTGCTTCCTTCAGCAGTGGTCAAACGACCACTACTACCACACGCAAACCCAAGTCCACCTATCACCCGGTGTTCGACGTGTACTTCAATCGGATCGCTCAGACGACGACGCGAAATCCGTACAACTTCAGTTTCTACGTCAAGCGCACGACCAAGAGTCCGAACTATGCGCTAAACTACGTAGGGGCCAATAGTCAAATCAGCTCCAACCGGGCGACGATCAGTAGTAGTAGTGGTGGAAGCGGAACTGTCAGTGGATAGAAGCACTCTTGTACAGTACCCGGTCCATATGTAGCAAACAGGGGTCGTTCGAACCTGCGCTCAAGCCAACAGAACACACTTTTTTGTTAAAGAAAAAAAAACGCGCCAGGCAGCGTCGCCATGTTCTGTTGATCGCTATTGCACAATATTGAAAAATGTTAGATCCCTGATTTCCCCTTTCTGTCAATGTTTGTGTGTTCACTGCCGCTTTCCTATTATACACTTTCTCTCTCTTCTTATACGTTTCTTCTCTTTTTTGTTGAGATTGTTATTTTTTTGTTAAATTGCGATGTTTTTTTTTTATATTAATTTTCTTTTTGCAAAATCCGTGTTTAATGTTATTCGGTTCTGCTGTTTTACGTTCTGAGCCCTTCGGAGTTACTAACCAGCTACTTTCCTATGTTAGAATATTTCTATCCTAACCTCAAACCAATTTAATCAAACTGAGCACACATTCGCCGAATTGAAGAAAAAAAAGAAAAAGTCTGCCATCTATTTAAATTATACCCTTACGAAGTAAGATAGAGCACCCCTTCATTGAGAAGTATATTTTTCGCGGGATTACGAAAAATAGAGCTTTTATATATATACACATATACATACATGTAAGCAAATGAAAAACGCCGTACATTACGACTTCTACCACTCTACATCTATGACACACATACGCATCACGGGTAAGAAATTGCACTTTGATATTTTAAACCAAATTATTCTGAGAAATACATGCTGCCTTTTAGCACCATTTTCAACACATTTCTACTCTCGCCCAAGAGTGGCTGACTCTTTCTGACTCTTTTTGTAATTTATTCTACCTTGCGCACACTCCGAGAAGCCACTCGACTTCCATTGTAGATTTGAAATCATGTTTCTTCTCTGTATTTTCTGATTAGAAAAAAAATCACAACTTTCAACTCGTTTCGTTCTAGAAGCAGACTCTGTCTAATAAATCTTTCGAAAATGCTGACACTTCCAAACAACCACTAAGTAGCACTCGCTCCAATCAGTGACGAACACTTACTTTCCCCTTTAATCGACTAAAACTACTACAACTGTACCTCTGAACTATTACTACTACTACTACTACTACTACTACTCTACGCAAAACTGCAAACTGTCTTTACTGACTCGATTTTGTCTACGTACTAATCCAATTTCAGTGTAAGACTAACCCGTTCGTTTCGCAATTGAGTAACCCAACCGCCCACGCTTGTTTTAGTATTTTCTTATTACTAACATTTCATCACTCCCAATTTGTAACAAAAGCAACGTACTAACCACCATGATAAACACACCCATCTGCCTCCCGTTTTATGCTTTGTAGTTTAGCGTATACTAGTGTATGTATATCCACTGTCCGAAAACAATCGAACCTAGCTAGTGGACAAGCTGTAAAAATTGTACAAAACCTAGGAAGTCGGACAAAGTAAACAAAAGGAACAAAATGGAGGTTGTGACCAGAAAATAATACGTATCGAACGATTGAAGCCGAATCCGGATGCAGCTGCTTCATGCTAACTAATGATGAACATAAACCTAGCATTCGAAATTTGTAGTTTTAAGCTTGTACCATAAATACTGATGCACAACTGTAAATAATGTAACCAATGTATAGGCATAAGTTAATCGAACAAATTGATTGGATTTTCAGCTTAGTAAGGGATACCGTTAAACAGAAATGAAAAAAAAAAATAGATTCCAACTACGGTTGCTTTCGCAGGGCTCGTTAGTTAGACGAAAACATGTGTGTTATAAAATATAGTCACTCTCTCTAAATTAGTTTGATATTCGATAGTAAAACCATTGTGAACAGAGCTGAACCTTATCACAATCAGGGTTCCTTCGATTCATCACGATTTAATAATGGAATTATGGAATTATTGGATGCTAAATATAATGATATTTTGTAGAACTTGTCAGCTACAAGAAGAGTTTGAAAAGTATGCGTTTGACACATGAAACTAGTCAATTTCGTTTTCAGTGAATCAGATTGTGATTCTCTGAAGGCGAGATTGACAGGTTATATGTGTCAAACACATTTTTTTCAACCTCTTCTAGTAATTTATGCTGCGGATACTCTTGTATGACAAACTTTGAACACATCCATGACCACACTTGTGTAGTTACAAATAATTATCATGATCATAGTTTGTCATACAAGTGTATCCGCTGCATTACAAGTACAAAATATGATTATAGCAAATATCATAAATTACAATATGGCTCACTCTTATATTATCTCCAAGACATGATTTTTCCCGACACTAGCAGCACTAGTGACACGAAAGGTGACTAGTACACTGTAAATTGAGCACTTAGCAGTTGACAGCTCAAAATCAACAAAGCTCCAGTTTGAATAAAATTGTAATAGGTTTGTTCCTGTATTTGCTTTTTTGCTTTTGCTGTAGGACAATAATACAGGAATCCCCGATTTCCACGGTGGGTGGTGCCGTCTACCAACCGCCATTTCAACAAATGGAGCTGATTTTTTGTATGTGATTAGGACCAACCACAACCAGAGTTGCGACCTATCAGATGATGGTACACGGGGAAAAAAAAGAGTTCCCATATTCGTGAATCGCAGCCGTGAACCATAGTTCACGGTGTGTATTTGAGAAAATTTTGTTCTGGATAGCTGGCCGTGATTTTTAGTTCACGGTCCGTTCCCGTTTTCGGGAACGGATTTTTTTCCGAGTAGTAACGCTTTGTACATTCCTAAAGGGTGATACGGTCAAAATTTGGTCAATATCAACTTGACGTATTTCTTTCAATTTTGCATTTAAAAAACCTGAACACCCCTCATTTTGAAGGTGTGTGTGTGTAGAATGTTGCTCCTATTTTGATTTTGGAATTCACTCTTCAGTTGTCAAAATGCCGTCCAAGCAAGAAGAGCAGCGTATCAAAATTTTGCTCGCGCATCGCGAAAATCCGAGCTACTCGCACGCAAAGTTGGCAAAATCGCTAAAAGTTGCCAAATCAACCGTTACAAATGTAATTAAAGTGTTTGGGGAACGTTTGTCGACAGCCAGGAAGTCTGGATCGGGGGGAAATCGAAAACCGGAAGCCGCTGAGACGACAAAGAGAGTTGCCGGTAGTTTCAAGCGAAACCCTAACCTCACTCTCCAAGATGCCGCAAATAAGCTGGGTGTATCGTCTACAACCGTGCATCGAGCCAAAAAACGAGCCGGACTATCGACTTACAAGAAGGTAGTGACTCCAAATCGCGATGATAAACAAAATACGACGGCCAAAGCGCGATCCCGGAGGCTGTACACGACGATGCTGACGAAGTTTGACTGCGTGGTAATGGACGACGAAACCTACGTCAAAGCCGACTACAAGCAGCTTCCGGGACAGGAGTTTTATACGGCAAAAGGAAGGGGAAAGGTAGCAAATGTTTTCAAGCACATGAAACTGTCAAAGTTCGCAAAGAAATATCTGGTTTGGCAAGCCATCTGTACCTGTGGCTTGAAAAGCAGCATTTTCATAGCTTCCGGGACTGTCAACCAAGAAATTTACGTGAAAGAGTGTTTGAATAAACGTCTGCTGCCTTTCCTGAAGAAACACGGTTGTTCCGTACTGTTTTGGCCGGATTTGGCATCTTGCCATTACGGTAAAAAGGCCATGGAGTGGTACGCCGCCAACAACGTGCAGGTGGTTCCCAAGGACAAGAACCCTCCCAACACGCCAGAGCTCCGCCCAATTGAGAAATACTGGGCTATTGTCAAGTGGAACCTAAAGAAGACCAAAAAAACTGCTAAGGGCGAGCAGCAGTTCAAGGCAAACTGGCTTTCTGCGGCGAAGAAGGTGGACAAGGTGGCTGTACAAAATCTGATGGCAGGGGTCAAGCGTAAGGCCCGGCAATTCGGATTTGGAAAAGCGGAAGCCTAACTGAATATTTTTCCTGAATTTTATACTAATTGAACTTGAAAAAGAAATTTAATTTGATTTTTTAAATAAACGATTTCACCGATTTACACGCGTTTTCCCTTGACCAAATTTTGACCGTATCACCCTTTATCAATGTGCTCATCGAAGCTCTCTCCATAACCATCCATCAAGTTGACGAAAGAAGTAAAAAGCAACTGGTGAATGTTGTGATCCATCACCGATCTGGTCATTCTCGACAATCACGACACTCATCTGTGCTCGTTTTGAATCAGTTGTTGCTTTGCTTGATTATGTGAGTGTGTTGGTCAGTGAGCCCAACAGCTTCCGTTTAATATTGCCTGCTTTGTTTGCAACTCACACAGTCGCGCCTGCCGAGACGAACTTGGAATGCGTGGAATTGTTTTCATTTTCTTCTGTCGTTTCGCTTTTTCTCATCATCGTACTGCAGAAGTCTTCACTGTTTTCGTTGTGCTATTCTCCATCAGCAGCGAGTGTTACGCCTGTGAGCAGCGACCCTTACTGGTGATTGTTGTTTGC